CTCAAGCGCCACCAGCTCGTGGAGACCGTGGAGCTCAAGTGAGGGGAGGGGAGGGCAGGGGGGCCCCAGGGAGGGCAGGGGGGTCCCAGGGTCAGGGCAGGGGGTCCCCAGAGGGGACGGGGCATCCTGGGGGTCAGGGGGTCCCTGGGAGGGACAAGGAGTTGTGGTCCTTGGGGATGCCCAGGAGCTGGGGTGGTCAGCAGCAGCCCCTTGGTAACGAGCAAGGACCCGTGGGGGGGCTCTGGCCCCCTGCTCTGGCAGAGCACCCTGGCAGGGCTCGGGGTGCAGCACCCAAGGGTGCTGGCCGTGCCGGGGCCCCTGCCTGACCCCGCGTCGGTGCCGCAGGGTGGCCGACGAGACGCCCCCCCCGAACAAGCAGGTGAAGCCACTGTTCAGGCATTTCCGCCGCATCGACTCCTGCCTGCAGACGCGGGTGGCTTTCCGGGGCTCCGACGAGAGTGAGTGACCATGGCCGGGTGCTGGGGTCCCCTCCCTGGCCCGCCGGCCGCTGCAAGGGGCCGTGCCTGCTCTGTGCCTCAGCTTCCCCAGTCGGGGCTCCGGAGTGCCCCAGGGAGGTGCGCGGGGTCCGACGTGGCCCTGACATCCCCCCTCTCCCCAGTTTTCTGCCGCGTGTACATGCCCGACCACTCGTACGTCACCATCCGCAGCCGCCTCTCGGCCTCGGTGCAGGACATCCTGACCTCCGTCACCGAGAAGCTGCAGTACTCGGAGGAGCAGAGCGCCCGCGAGGACGCCCTCATCCTCGTCACCATGGCCTCGTCCGGAGGTGCCCGCAGAGCTGGGGGGGTTGCAGGCAGGGGTGGGGGTCCGGCTGGAGCTGACCCCCTGCCTGCACTCTGCCCGCAGAGAAAGCGGTGCTGCAGCCCAGCGAGGAGTGCGTCTTCACCACCCTGGGCATCAACAGCCACCTCTTCGCCTGCACCAGGGACACCTTCGACTCCCTGGTGAGCGCCGCGCCGTGCCGGGGACCCCCCATCTGCCGAGCCCTGGGGCCGCGGTGACCCCTGGGGCAGAAGAGGGGGGACCCTCCTGCGGGACCCTCGTGCTCAAACACCCTCCGAGCATCCCCGTTCCCACGTCCCCTCGCAGGTGCCGCTGCCTGAGGAGATCCAGGTGGTGCCGGGGGACACGGAGATCCACCGCGCGGAGCCGGAGGAGATCGCCAACCACCTCACCGCCTTCCACTGGGAGCTCTTCCGCTGCATCCATGAGGTGGGGGGGTGGCCAGGGGCTGGAGGGGGCTGCGCTGTGGCAGGGGGGCCCTGACAATGTGCGTGCGTCCCCCCCGGCAGCTGGAGTTCGTGGATTACGTGTTCCACGGGGAGCGGGGCCGGCGGGGGGGGGCCAACCCGG